GGAGGGGGGGGTGGGGGGGGGAGGAAACTGTCGCAGTGGCATTTGTAGTGAAATAGTGAAGAAGGAATGGTGATGGTTGATATTTGAAATCTAATGCGAATATAGTGGCCCCCTGACACACACACACAAACACAAACAAACACACACACACACACAATACCAGGCACAAACCGTACCCCAGGGAGATGGAAGATGGGAATGCTACTGTGGAGGGGACCACCACCAACCCAGATCTCATTTGCTGAAATGCCTTAAAAAGAGCCCTGAAGCTAGGTCTGCGGTTAAGGAAGTTGCCATGGAAGTGGCTTCCTCTCAGGAAGCAGCTAGATGTACTAGCCGGCTGATAGAGAGAAATAGAGCAGTAGTAGTAGCAGGCATTGAAGAACAAAACAGGGACCAGACCAAAGGAGCGGAGAGAGACAAGGACAAAAACATGATTAAAGAGATCCTTAAAGAGGTAAGGATGGAGGGAGCTGAGCGAAATGTTGAAAAGGTTTTCAGGCTTGGAAAGTACAACAAGGACAGAGACCGAATGATAAAGGTGGTTTCATGAGCGAAATCGCGAAAGAGGAACTGCTAGCAAGGAAGTGTGTGTCTATAAAGTTGTAGAGAAGTTCAAGAAAATATTCCTGCAGAGGGATATGACAAGGGAAGAGAGAATACGGACAGCAGACGCGAGGAAGGAGCGCAGGGGAAGAGAGAAGGAATCAGAGTACCACAACCCAGAACCCTACAATCCCAGAGGGAAGTGGGGAAACCCTTCTCAAACAGTGCAACAGCCACAGGGATTGGGGCACCACCCCCAAATTCTACCCAACAGACACCCACAACCTGCCCCATCCCCTGTCAGCCCCCCACTAAGTACCCACCTAGGGCACCTCCTCCCCCACCCCCCCCCACCCCCCCACCCTCACCCCCCTTCTCCCCCTCACCCCTCTCCCCAGGACCTCCCTTCTCCCCCATCCCTCATGCCCTCCCTTCTCCCACATGCCTTCCTGTCTCTCCCACCCCATGGCCCTACCTTCTCCCCCCCCCCCCTAAGCCCCCCACTCTCCCCACCCCACCTAAGTCTTCCCCTCTCCCCCACTCCCCTAAACCCTCCCCTCTTCCTCACCCACCTCAGCCCTCCCTTTTCGCCCCACGCCCCCCAAGCCCTCCACCCTTTTCTCTTCCCCCAAAGCCCCCCATCTCCCCTATCCCCCACAGCCTCTCCTCCCACCATGCTTCCCCAACCCTCCCTCTCTACCCCACCCCCTGTACCCTCCCTCTTATCCACCCCCTGTACCATCCCCCCCGGGCTGTGAGGAGTTCAGAGACTACATAGCAGGCACCATAACAATGGGAGGACCAAGAATAGTAGTAGCAGTAATATACAACCCTCCACCAAATGACAGGAGACCCAGTCAAGAGTATGAAAACAACAACAAGGCAGTTAACACTATAATTGAGAGGGCAGCCTCTGCTGCCTGTAGAAATAGATCCCACCTGCTCATCATGGGCGACTTCAATCAAGGAACCGCATGGAGGCGAGGATACGTGGAGAGCCAAACTATTGGAGGTGGTGACAAGCAACTTTTTAACGCAGCATGTCGGAGAACCCACAAGGATGAGAGGCAATGACGAACCAGCGAGACTCGACCTAGTCTTCACTCTGAACGACTCCGACATAAGAGAAATCGGTTTTGAGGACCCAGTAGGAATGAGCGACCACAGTGTACTGGTGTTTGAGTACTTGATTGAAGAAGGGTTATTGAACTCGAGGAGGGATACCGAAACCAAAAGGTTAGCATACCGAAAGGGAAACTATGAGGGGATAAGAAAATTCCTAACAGATATAGCATGGGAAACAGAGCTCAGGGGAAAGACGGCCCAAGATATGATGGATTACATCACGCAGAAGTGCAAGGACGCAGCAAACAAGTTTGTCCCAGTCCAAAAGGAAAACAGAGAAATGAAGATGAGAAACCCATGGTTTAATCAAAGATGTAGGCTAGCTAAGCAGCAAAGTAAAAGGGCATGGAGAAACTATAGGAATAACAGGACACTGGAGAGCAGAGAAAGATACCAGAATGCCAGGAATGAATATGTCAGGATGAGAAGAGAGGCAGAAAGACAATACGAAAATGACATCGCAAGCAAGGCAAAGACTCAGCCTAAATTGTTGCATAGCCACATTAGGAGAAAAACAACAGTAAAGGAACAGGTTATGAGATTAAGGATAGGGGCGGAAGGATTCACTACAAATGACAAGGAAGTGTGTGAGGAATTGAATAAGAAATTCCAGGAGGTCTTCACCTTAGAACAAGGAGAAATTCCAGAGGTAAGTGAGGGAATAGCTAACCAGGAACCACTGGAAGAGTTTGAGATTACCAGTGGGGAAGTAAGGAAGTGTTTACTAGAGTTGGACGTGACGAAGGCTATAGGCCCAGATGGAATCTCCCCTTGGGTTCTAAAGGAAGGAGCAAGAGAACTGAGCCTACCACTCTCCATAGTGTATAACAAATCACTGGCAACAGGGGAACTGCCAGATACTTGGAAAGCAGCTAACGTAGTCCCGATATACAAGAAAGGGGATAGACAGGAGGCACTGAACTACAGGCCAGTGTCCCTAACCTGCATACCATGCAAGCTGATGGAGAAGATTGTGCGAAAAAAACTAGTGGAGCATCTGGAGCGAAGGAACTTTGTAACACAGCATCAACATGGGTTCAGGGATGGCAGGTCCTGCCTCACAGGGTTACTTGAATTCTACGACCAGGCAACAAAAATAAGGCAAGAAAGAGAAGGGTGGGCAGACTGCATATTTTGGATTGTCAGAAAGCCTTTGATACAGTGCCACACAAGAGGCTAGTGCGAAAGTTGGAGATGCAGGCTGGAGTGAGAGGGAAGGTACTCCGGTGGATAGAGGAATACCTAAGCAACAGGAGACAACGAGTCTGTGTGAGGGGTGAGGTCTCAGATTGGCGAGACGTCACAAGTGGAGTCCCGCAGGGGTCAGTCCTTGGACCTATACTGTTTCTGGTATATGTAAATGATCTCCCAGAGGGTATAGATTCGTTCCTCTCAATGTTTGCCGACGATGCAAAAATTATGAGGAGGATTGAAACAGAGGATGATAGTAGGAGGCTACAAGATGACCTGGATAGACTGAGTGAATGGTCCAACAAATGGCTGTTGAAGTTCAACCCGAGTAAATGCAAAGTAATGAAACTAGGCAGTGGAAACAGGAGGCCAGGCACAGGATACAGAATAGGAGATGAAGTACTTAATGAAACAGACAGAGAGAAAGATCTAGGAGTTGATATCACACCAAACCTGTCTCCTGAAGCCCACATAAAGAGAATAACGTCTGCGGCATATGCGAGGCTGGCTAACATCAGAACGGCGTTCAGGAACCTGTGTAAGGAATCATTCAGAATCTTGTACACCACATATGTAAGACCAATCCTGGAGTATGCGGCCCCAGCATGGAGCCCGTACCTTGTCAAGCACAAGACGAAGCTGGAAAAAGTCCAAAGGTATGCTACTAGACTAGTCCCAGAACTAAGAGGCATGAGTTATGAGGAAAGGCTGCGGGAAATGCACCTCACGACACTGGAAGACAGAAGAGTAAGGGGGGACATGATCACAACCTACAAAATCCTCAGGGGAATCGACCGGGTAAACAAGGACGAACTTTTCAACACTGGTGGGACGCGAACAAGGGGACACAGGTGGAAGCTGAGTACCCAAATGAGCCACAGAGACGTTAGAAAGAACTTTTTCAGTGTCAGAGTAGTTAGCAAATGGAATGCATTAGGAAGTGATGTGGTGGAGGCTGACTCCATTCACAGTTTCAAATGTAGATATGATAGAGCCCAATAGGCTCAGGAATCTGTACACCAGTTGATTGACGGTTGAGAGGCGGGACCAAAGAGCCAGAGCTCAACCCCCGCAAGCACAATTAGGTGAGTACAATTAGGTGAGTACACACACACACACACACACACACACACACACACACACACACACACACACACACACACACACACACACACACACACACAAGTTATCACTAAACAAGTTTGGCACCAGGCTTTAAATATACATACCTATACTTATTGTCTCATAAGGAAGTCCAATAGCTTACACTGACACAAAATGAGTAGTTTGACCTAATATATGGACTCGAGTAAGTCATTTTACGATTACATCGTCAGGGTAATAAAACAGAGTTATATAGAGTAAGGGACTTGTGATCCTGTGGTCCTGGGTTCGATCCCAGGCGCCGGCGAGAAACAATGGGCAGAGTTTCTTTCACCCTATGCCCCTGTTACCTAGCAGTAAATTAGGTACCTGGGTGTTTGTCAGCTGTCACGGGCTGCTTCCTGGGGGTGGAGGCCAGGTCGAGGACCGGGCCGCGGGGACACTAAAAGCCCCGGAATCATCTCAAGATAACCTCTCAAGATAACCTCAAGGGCTAAGACCTGAGAAAATTATGTTCCACCTACCTCATCGCTATTCTTACAACCAACCAAATTTAACCGAATTCAGTATTAGCTTTCGTAATAGTAAGGTGAGTATAGGGAATAGTAAGGTGAGATATAGGTAAGGTGTAGGTAAGGTAAGGTACAAACACCTCAAGATAGCTTATCGTATAACCAGTAGCTTACCTAACCAAACCTAACAAATATTAGAGATGCTATTTTGTATCTTATATATGTTGTGGATGACGTCGTTATGACGTCGTTATGACGTCGCCATATCTTGAGGTTATCTTGAGATGATTTCGGGGCTTTTTAGTGTCCCCGCGGCCCGGTCCTCGACCAGGCCTCCACCCCCAGGAAGCAGCCCGTGACAGCTGACTAACACCCAGGTACCTATTTTACTGCTAGGTAACAGGGGCATAGGGTGAAAGAAACTCTGCCCATTGTTTCTCGCCGGCGCCTGGGATCGAACCCAGGACCACAGGATCACAAGTCTAGCGTGCTGTCCGCTCGGCCGATCGGCTCCCTGCCATGATGTTCAGGTCGGCACAGGTTTTAGACCCGACTGGTTATCTGAGTGTCACCCCATCACTCCTGAGTGAACCCCATCAACCAGGTATACTGGGTTCGATCTTTGGACGGGGATATACCTGATCAACCAGGCTGTGACTCATACGTCAGGTTGCGAGCAGCCGCGTCCAACAGCCTGGTTGATCAGTCCAGCAACCAGGAGGCCTGGTCGACGACCGGGCCGCGGGGACGCTAAGCCCCGGAAGCACCTCAAGGTTGGGGAAAAATTGACTGGGCACGCTTCCTTTCACCTGACGCCTCTGTTGACGTATCAGGTAATAAATAAAGAATCCCGGAGTTTGGCAACTGTTGTGGGTAGCATCTTGGTAGAGGTCAGTAGCTGACCTAGGGTGACCTCGATAAGCCTAAGTACAGGCTCCCTGTCCCCCCCCCCACACAACGATTACTGTATCAGAAATGTGATTCTGTGATGTCGCACAAGACTTTCCACTTTGACCAAGTCGCATAATGAAGATGTATTGTCCAAAATTATGTGGCAGCCTGGACATGTCAACAGACTCAATGATATCACATATTGGTGTCTACCAGGGGGGGGGGGGGGGAGGGGGGAGGTGGGGGAGGTACCGTGGATTTAATCACATCACACCCGGGAAGGCTCACGGCGCTCCAGTGCCACGCCATCTAGTGCCACACCATCTAGTGCCACGTCATCCAGTGCCACACCATCTAGTGTCACACCATCTAGTGACACACCATCCAGTGCCACGCCATCTAGTGCCACACCATCTAGTGCCACGCCATCCAGTGCCACGCCATCTAGTGCCACACCATCTAGTGCCACACCATCCAGTGCCACGCCATCTAGTGCCACACCATCTAGTGCCACACCATCTAGTGTCACACCATCCAGTGATACACCATCCAGTGCCACGCCATCTAGTGCCACACCATCTAGTGCCACGTCATCCAGTGCCACACCATCTAGTGTCACACCATCCAGTGATACACCATCCAGTGCCACGCCATCCAGTGCCACACCATCCAGTGCCACGCCAACCAGTGCCACGCCAACCAGTGCCACGCCATCCAGTGCCACACCATCCAGTGCCACGCCAACCAGTGCCACGCCATCCAGTACCACACCATCTAGTGTCACACCATCCAGTGATACACCATCCAGTGCCACACCATCCAGTGCCACGCCAACCAGTGCCACGCCATCCAGTGCCACACCATCCAGTGCCACGCCATCCAGTGCCACACCATCCAGTGCCACGCCATCCAGTGCCACGCCAACCAGTGCCACACCATCCAGTGCCACACCAACCAGTGCCACACCATCCAGTGCCACACCATCCAGTGCCACACCATCCAGTGCCACACCATCCAGTGCCACACCATCCAGTGCCACACCATCCAGTGCCACACCATCCAGTGCCACGCCATCCAGTGCCACGCCAACCAGTACCACACCATCCAGTGCCACACCATACAGTGCCAAACCATCCAGTGCCACACCATCCAGTACCACGCCATCTAGTGCCACGTCATCCAGTGCCACACCATCCAGTACCACACCATCCATTCCCACACCATCCAGTGCCACACCATCCAGTGCCACGCCATCCAGTGCCACACCATCCAGTGCCACACCATCCAGTGCCACACCATCCAGTGCCACGCCATCCAGTGCCACGCCATCCAGTACCACACCAACCAGTGCCACACCATCCAGTGCCACGCCAACCAGTGCCACGCCAACCAGTGCCACACCATCCAGTACCACACCATAAATGAGAACGGTATAAATGAGAACGGAGTAGTTACAGCCCCGCTCCTGCACCAGGTAAGTCTTCTACGGGCTCACCATAGCCCGTGCTACTTGGAACTTTTTGTTCACAGTAGCTGAATCTTAAACAACAACAAGAGAGAACGGCGGGAAGTACTAAGTGGAGTCCATCAGGCACCAGCACTAAGACCCGGAGTGTTTCTGACATATGCCAATGACTTATGTAGAATCCCTACATATCTTGAGGTTATCTGGAGATGATTTCGGGGCTTAGCGTCCCCGCGGCCCGGTCCTCGACCAAGCCTCCTTTTTGTTACACACCCCCAGGAACCAGCCCGTAGCAGCTGTCTAACTCCCACGTACCTATTTACTGCTAGGTAACAAGGGCATCAGGGGGGAAAGAAACTTTTTGCCCATTTGTCTCCGCCTCCACCGGGGATCGAACCCGGAACCTCAGGACTACGAATCCGAAGCGCTGTCTACTCAGCTGTCAGGCGCCCAGCTGTCAGGTGCAATATGGCAACGTTGCCGACTTAGCCAAAATAACGGGACTAATCACAATGAGGAAGGATTGCTGTGTAGTCCAAAATAACCTAGGCAGTCTACTGGTGCCTAACAAATGGCTGCTTGAGTTTAATCATAGCAAATGCAAGGTGATGAGATTTATGACGGGGGTGAAAAGGCCATAGAGACAATCCGGAATGATAGGAAGACAAAAACTTGAACCAGAATATTACAGAAAGCCGAGATAGGCAGGTTTCAACAGATGCACAAATTAGCACAAAAATACCAGTAGTGTATACTAACACAGGAATATACGAACCCAATGGAATTCCCCTTTAAAATAAGCACAGATTAAAAACAGAGCGAAGTTCAAGATTTACAATGAGACCGGCCAATGATCTTGAGAGGCACTAGGTCCCTGGAAACACTGCAGGAACTACACCTCACTAAGCTGCAAACAGCATGAGGCAACAGCAACATTACTTTTAAACACATGATTCTTGTTAGAGTTTACAAAGTAGACAGTAAAGAAGTCTGTGTCACAAGTATGTTGGAAAGAGCCGTAGAGTAAGACGGCCTGAGTAGATGCCTCAGTCGCCAGCGACTTACAGGCCTGTGAAGAAGTACTTCTTGAGAGCGGTGAACAAGTGGACTAATCAGAGGAAGAGGATGTTAAGCATTCACAGTATATAAATGCAGGAATGATGAACAACAGGAGAGTCGGAATGTGTTGCATCAGGCCAATACAAACTACAAGGTCTAAGATCTGGTGCTCGAACTTGCATGCACGTGTCAATTAGTGTGAGCTACAGGGTGAAGGGGGGGGGGGCGGAGCTAGAGGGGGCGGGAGCTAGAGGGTGAAGGGGGAAGCTAGAGGGTGCAGGAGAGGGGTGCAGTTAGAGGGTGCAAAGGGGGGTGGGCAGCAAGAGGGTGCAAGGGGGGGGGGGGAGCGCAGAGTGACAAGTCAGAAGGTGCAGAGTCGAGCCAGGGGGGGGGGGGGTGGATGTGCGTGTGTGGCACAAGAGGCCGAGGGTGAAGAGCCACTTCCTCTAGAGCAGCACCAGCCACGTCTAATGAACACCCGGACAGTCGACCCCCTTCCCCATCACCCCCCCCCTTCCTCTTCACATCTCCACCAAGCGCAGGAAACTCGCTCAGCTGCTCACCAAACTCCCTCCAAGACGCCCAGTTCCTCCACCGCTCAGCTGCACAGAACCGTCTGACAGATACACAGAACCGTCTAACAGATGCACAGAACCGTCTGACAGATAGACAGAACCGTCTGACAGATAGACAGAACCGTTTAACAGATACACAGAACCGTCTGACAGATAGACAGAACCGTCTGACAGATACACAGAACCGTCTAACAGATACACAGAACCGTCTGACAGACAGAACCGTCTGACAGATAGACAGAACCGTCTAACAGATGCACAGAACCGTCTGACAGATAGACAGAACCGTCTGACAGATACACAGTCCCTGTAACACCAGACTTGCTCCCGGGGTTGACATAATCTGCCGCGTCGCACAGAAGCAAGTAAGATAAGTCTAAAACATCTTTGATAAGCTTGAAAACTCCCACCTTAAAGTACAGACCTCAACTTAACTCAGGTTGCATTTGACGGCCAGAGACTGAGCTGGCTGTACATGGGGTACAAACTGACTGTCTATGACGGCCAAACGCAGTCATTAGCTGACTGTATACAAGAAAAGCAGACTGTAGTGTGCGATGGTCTTAGTAATGATTACGTGGGATAATTTACCCGCAGAGAAGATTCGCCAGTTGTTCAGCAAACTCATTTAATTCTAAAGGAGGTGGTTGAGTCACACAAGAAACTCGTTAGGCAGGACAACATTCTGGTAGACATGCACAGGAACTGCTTACCCCCCTCCCCTCCCCTCTCTCTCTCTCTCTCTCTCTCTCTCTCTCTCTCTCCTCTCTCTCTCTCTCTCTCTCTCTCTCTCTCTCTCCACTTCCTCCTCACATCCTCCTCCACCTCCCTCTTTGGCATATATATCATATATATTTATACTAGCATGTATATGACTGAACATAACAGTCGCGCGAAACTTGGAATTGAAATCTAAAAATTCTTACAGGATTCGAATTTGGGTCTTCGGTGGTCCCAGCCCGCATGTTAACCACTGCCACCACTGGGTAAAGTAATTACAATTAGGGAAATACAATGTCTCATACGACCATGCAGGACTGTTCGAAACTCCACACGAGTCGCTCAGTGGCTAGCATGCGTTACTGTTCGAAACTCCACATGAGTCGCTCAGTGGCTAGCATGCGTTACTGTTCGAAACGTTCCATTACTTGCAAAAGATGAGTCACAATAACGTGGCAGAATATATGATAGCCAAACCACACACACACCAGAAGATTAAGAAACGACGATTCTAAACGATGATTCTAAACGACGATTCTAAACGATGATTTCGGTTCGTCCTGGATTAGTTCCCCCAAAGGCCAGTTTGTGGGACTGTTCGAAACGTGGACTGATAGTTTACACGTCTCAATGTCACGTTATTGTGAGGTTCAGAGTTATTGGTAAGTGAGTGGAAGTGGCTGGAACGTGCTATAGCGGCCGAGTGATGGTGAGGAGTGTGGTGAAGAGTGGATTTACAGGGTCGTGTTGACCTCTTGCAAGCGTTGACCCCCCTGCAACCCGTGTCAACGACTGCATGTTCCCCGGGTTCTGGTTGTTATTCACAATGGTCGCGCAATAGTTTTAGCATGATGGGCTGGGCCACCTAAAATCCTAGTTCGAATCACGTCATTTAACAACATATATATATATATAATATATATATATATATATATATATATATATATATATATATATATATATATATATATATATATATATATATATATGAGTATACCTGGTTCAGAGTTCTTTTTAACCAGCCTAACCTGAATTCAAGCTTGTCGTGTGATAAACTTGATCTAAAAGGCTGTTGCTCGGGGCGATCCGCAGGCCCCCCAAAACCAACCGCTACAACCCAGTTGGTCCGGTACTTCCTCCAGGAACCTTTCTAGTTGTTTCATGAACAATTCCTTCACAATTATTTCCAATATCATAGCACTGTACCTGGAGTCTTGGAGTTCTACTTCCCAAGCCCGGCCCTGGGCCAGGCTTGACTTGCGGTAACTCGGTCCAACAGACTGTTGCTTGGAGCGACCTGCAGGCCCACATTACCCTCTAAACCTCGGTTGGTCCGGCACTTCTTGAAGAAAACAGTTCAGGTTTTTTCTTGAAGAAGTATTTTCCGTCACTATTAACGTGAACATTTTGGAACAATGAAAACGGGACAAGGAAATGCTTCGAATTGTAATAACAACAGGCAGCATCTGTAGACATGACCTGGATAAGAGCCATGTACACACAAAAGCGTATGAATCTGTAGTGTACACTCATGTACACACACACAACGCTCATGTACACACACACAACGCATGCATCTACATACATTAATAGACATTTGTATACATCCAGTATACACAAAGACGTATATTTTTTTGTAGAAAATATTGGCTTAAAAATGGCGCATCGAGCAGGAGAGGCAGACAAGCGAGCAGGGCCCATAAAAAATGGCCCCCCGACCCATTTAGGAGACGAGGAGTGGGGAGCGGCCAGCCCTTTTAGCGCCCTTAGGGCCGGCCAGAGCAACTACTTGAGGGACTGTCCCTGCCAGGGAAAGGAGGAGGCGGGAAGGAGAGTGGAGGGACGATTGGGGAGACAGGACACCATCAAGATGTGGAGGTGGCAGAGGACGTTAGCAAAATGAAAAGGGAAATAGCAGCAGATTCGAGAAAGGAAGCTCGAATAGGAAACGAGAAGAGGGGCAAGAAGGGGAGGTGGGGAAGGGGAGCAGGGGCACGAAGGGGAGGTGAGGAAGGGGAGCAGGGACAAGAAGGGGAGGTGGGGAAGGGGAGCAGGGCAAGAAGGGGAGGTGGGGAAGGGGAGCAGGGGCAAGAAGGGGAGGTGGGGAAGGGGAGCAGGGGCAAGAAGGGGAGGTGGGGAAGGGGAGCAGGGGCAAGAAGGGGAGGTGGGGAAGGGGAGCAGGGGCAAGAAGGGGAGGTGGGGAAGGGAAGCAGGGGCAAGAAGGGGAGGTGAGGCAAGAAGGAGAGGAGGGGCAAGAAGGGGAGGTGGGGGGAGGGAAGCAGGGGCAAGAATGGGAGGCGATGAAGAGGAGCAGGGGCAAGAAGGGGAGGTGGGGGAAGAAGGAGGGACGTGGAACCAATAACATAGTAATAACACCTTGACCTTCTACTCTCGAACGTTATATATAGGATTAATATCCCAACTTTCTTATTTCCTTGCTTAAGTAGTGACGTCGGAGACGCTGGTGTTGACGTCGGCGACGGTGGTGTTGACGTCGTCGACGCAGGTGTTGACACAACAGTTCTCTTAACCTGCCACTCCGTAAACAAATCCTCCTCCCGAACCATAATTCCCCGAGCCCGAGCCCGAGCCCAACACGTCC